TAAACTCCTAAACCCTAAACCTTCAGCCGCTTCATCAGAGTAGTGTGGGTTTTTGTCTCTCGGCCGCACAGAGAGGCGGCTTCCCAGGCCCGACACCCCTGGAACCCTTGAAGCCCGGGGTTTAGGGCTTAGGGTTTAGGGCTTTGGGCTTAGGGTTTAGGGTTTGGGGTTTAGGGTTTAGGGTTTGGGGTTTAGAGGGTTGGGGTTTGGGGTTTGGGGTTTGGGGTTTAGGGGGTTGGGGTTGGGGTTGGGGTTTAGGGTTTAGGGTTTAGGGTTTAGGGTTTGGGGTTTGGGGTTTGGGGTTTAGGGTTTGGGATTTAGGGCTTTGAAGGGTTTGGGGTTTAGGGCTTTGAAGGGTTTGGGGTTTAGGGCCTAAGGTGTAGGGTGTAGGGTTTAGGGTTTGGGGTTTAGGGTTTAGGGTAAACCCTCAATCCCCGAAAACCTTGGCCGTTAATTAATCCCCTAAATCCTTATAGGCTTTAATACCCGAAAACCGTTAGAACCCCTAGACCCAGACCCTCCACCTTCTAAAACAAGAATCTGGACTGGACTTTGAAAACCCAAAACCCTAAACCCTAAACCCTAAACCCTAAACCCTAAACCCTAAACCCTAAACCCTAAACCCTAAACCCTCAAACCCTAAACCCTAAACCGTGAAATTCCGCGGTTAGGTTTGTGGAAGTCATGGGTTGCACAAGCTCCACTACCGCACATGAGTCTGAAGCAGGGAGCCCGGTTGCTGCGGGGCTTGGGGCATTGTTGAGGCTTTGTTTTCGGTAAGGGGTGGTGGCTTAAAGTCTTTGCGTTTTGAGGTCGAGGACGGGGGTAAGGCTTCTAGGGGCTTTGCAGGCGTTGAGGGTTCTGTTTTCAGAATTCACGGCCAAGAGGCGCGTCCGACAGAGACGTTCAGCTGCAGCCCAATTCGAAATGTAGAGCACTGTTTCAGGGTTTGGGTTTGAGGGTGATAGCTCAAGTCATGCACTCCTCGTGGATGAACTCAGGTGGTTTTTCCGGCGAGGACGATTCCAAAGCATGCTGTGGAGTTTCCGATGAAGGCGCGTGCCTCAAGCACCGTACCCTTGGCTAGGCACAACCAACCAACATGAGGACGATACTGGGCAGTTTGTCGTCGTCGCCATCGTCAGTATCATGATCATCATCATCATCACCGTCAGTATCATCATCATCAGCATCATCACCATCATCATCATCATCACCATCATCATCATAACCATCATCATCATCGTCATCGTCATCGTTATCCTCATCCTCCTCATCATCATCGTCATAATCATCACCACAACCATCATCATCATCATCATCATCATCATCATCATGGGCACCATCATCATCATCATCATCATCAACATGATCCTGTTCATGATCATGACCATCACCATTATCATGAACATGGCCATGATCATGAACAAAGTCGTGATCATCATCATCATCATCATCCTCATCATCATCACCATCATCATCATCATCATCTTCGTCATCACCGTTTTAATCATTGTCATCATCATCATCATCCTCATCGCCATCCTCATCATCATATTCACCACGATCATCGTCGTGATGGCCATCTTCACCATGATCATCGTCATCGTTATCGTTATCATCATCGTCATCGTCATCATTGTCATCATCATCATCACCATCATCATCATCATCATATGCATCACATTCATCATTGTCATCAGCACCATTATCATCGTCGTCATCGTCATCATCATCATCATCATCATCATCATGATGATCATAATCACCATCATAATGATCATAATTTCCATCAGCACCATCATTCGTCATCCTCGCCGCCATCATCTTCATTATCATCATCAGAACCGTCGCCTTATCCGCTATATTCGTTATATTTTCCAGGTTGTGCTTTTTCAGAATGCTCTTCTTGTAGGTACTGTCATGTTTTGCAGCATCGTCGCCGACTCAAACCCTAAACCCTAAACCCAAAACCTTAACCGTCACGTGACTCCCTTGTACCGGCAGGATCGGAAGAATATCTGTGAAGACGACGACACGGACATCATCACGCAGAGCACCAGCACGAAGGCCAGCCCGAAGTCACGCTTCTAATGGGTTTAGGGTGTAGGGTTTAGGGTTTAGGGTTTAGGGGGGTTTTGGAGCCCATTATACTATAGTTAGAATAAGGAACCCCCAAAATAGTACAGGTAATTAGCGAGGCCCCCATATTATTATAGTCTATCTTCCTTGGGCTTCTACGGAAGGCTACATTGACCGCAAGCTATCGCACAGTCGTGAAAGCCTTCAAGCCTTCAAAAGCTGCGTTCTTCAATCCCAACACCCTTCCCGGGACTTTGAGGTTTATAGTTTACTTAAGCTTTCCACTCAACAGCGTGCTATCTGGGTCGATATACCAGCTATCCTCAGCTGCTGATGGACAAGATCCTGCATTGCGCCAAGTTAGGAGTATCCCGTCGTTTCCACATTTCAGGGTACTTCAGTCACTTCGGGATCCTGTAAAACAAGCTCCGCAAAGAATCAATATAGGGCCTTCATCTGTTTAGTAGGGCTTATAAGGGGTTAAACCCTAAACCCTAAACCCTAAACCCTAAACCCTAAACCCTAAACCCTAAACCCTAAACCCTAAACCCTAAACCGTTCAAAGCATGATCATAAAAACCCGCAGCACAAATCCCTCGACTCTAAGCCCTAAAGCCTAAATAGGCACGCTAGGGGGGATATGACGGTTTGATGGACAAAATCCTGCATGACCTTATATACCTAAACTATGGGATTTATGGTACTATACTATTTGTGGGTCATGCAGAATTTTGTCCATCAGCCGTACCACCCTAAACCCTAAACCCTAAACCCTAAACCCTAAACCCTAAACCCTAAACCCTAAACAACAAAAAAAGGGCCAGCAGTATGACTAGGACCAGCTCTTCCGACTCCCTAGTGTGCATTGGGGGGTGAATCTTGTGGCTCCCTGGTCCCTCCGGTTAGAGCGAACCCCAGAAAGTTGGAACAGGGATCTAGGAGGATTAGTGCTAGGATCCCTTATACTTTACTTTTAAGGGCGAAAGGACTCTAATGTTCCAACTTTCTGGCTTCTACTATAGAGCCCTTGTAAAGGCCGGGTCCCCTTTAGGGTCCTTTTTTTTATAAGGGTGCCGTACTATATTGGGGACCTAAGAAAGGAACCCTAATTTAGAGATTTACCCAAAGGAACATCGTCAGGAGCCCCGCTATAAGACCCTACAAAAAAAGTCAAACCCTAGCGCCCGATATTACACCGCTGAATTCGCCGGTGTGAGGCCTCTTCTAAGCCCTCAACCCTAATCCCTAAACCTAATCTTCTAACCCTAGACCCTAAACCCTCTGGGCCCAAAGCCTTAAACCCCAACAGGCAGGCTTGCTCGCACAGAAAAGGCCACTGCACTTTAAAAAGAAATAAACCCTAAGCCCACATAACCCTAAGCCCTAAACCCTCTAAACCCAAAGCCTGAAGTCCTAGATCCTAAACCCCAAAACCCTAAACCCTAAACCCTAAACCCTAAACCCTAAACCCTAAACCCCAAAACCCACATCAGGCCTCCTCTACCTGGACCTCCACCAGTACCTTGGCCGCCGCTGCCTCAGACCTCGCACTGTCGGGCTTCAGGTTGTTTTTTGGGAATGTTTTGGAAAGCTTTTGCCTAAACTCTAAACCCTAAGCCTTAAGGGTTTCTAAGGGTTAGGGTTTAGGGTTTAGGGTTTAGGGTTTAGGGTTTAGGGTTTAGGGTTTAGGGTTTAGGGATTAGGTTCATTGTACGTTCCAATAGATTGCCCTCCTCTCTAAGAAGTATCCATAGACCTTCAAGCAAGACCCCCAGATTCCAAGCCGTCATTTTGACCGAGTTTAGAACCGCTTTGGAGCCCCTGTATACGAACCTGCCCTCCCTAAGCCCTAAACCCTAAAATCCTAAACCCTAAACCCTAAAATCCGAAACCCTAAACCCTAAACCCAAGAAAACAAACCCTTAAACCCTAAAACCGAGAATCCGAAGCCCCAAAGCCTCCAAACACACGACATTCCAGAGTCCCAGCGCGCACAAAGCCTGAAAGTTATTGTGAAGCCCTTATCGAACGGTTGAAAGAAACCTTACAGGAGCCCTTAAAGGGAACCTTAAACCCTAAAGGCAGAGTTGATGGATCTGGACTCCTCATGGGAGTTTGAGAAGACACCCATCGCAGTACCAGTGGCGCGGCGGGAGAGGTAAGAGCTGAACCCTGGTCTTTGCCCTAAACGGTTTAGGGTTCAGGGTTTGGGACGGTTTAGGCCCTAAGCCCTAAACCAGTTGAGGGTTTAGGGGTTAAGGTCTAGGGAGTCCAGGGTTTAAGGTTTTGGGTTGTGGGCGTGTGTTTGATAGGGGCTGTTATGGTTACCTAGACTACTGTGGGGGGTTGCTTCTTATAGTTATAGTATAATATACACCCAAACCCTAGGCCCTATTCTAAACATTAAGGAACCTACATTCTACAAAATATGGTACCTTATAGTAACCTTTACAACCTAGATCCAGGGGCCAAAGGCTGACGGCAACGGCATGGCTTTGCGGGCAAGAAAAAGTTAATTTGCGTCCTGACAGGTATGAGATTGCTTTTAAATTACATTGCCTCGGAGCATTGATTTTGTATTAACATGGCCTTTTGCCGTCACAGTACCAGGAACAGGAAATATTCACTGGGGTAGTGCTGACTGCTATGGACGGCTTTGCAAAGATTTCGACTCCCAGGCAGGCCTGGTGTCCTTCGTAAATCTTCACAGAGGAAGAGTGAGTGAATGAACGTAGTGTGACAGGCCAGCAGCGGACGCAACGGACATGATCGAGCTCTTTTTATCAGATAGTAGGCTGGCTATCCGTCATGTGGTCCGCCGCCGCCGCCGCGCCCTCCAGTGACGGACCCCAAGCTGCCGGCGAAGCCGGCTCGGAAGCCGCCATCTTCTATGAATCCATGGCCAAGCTCCTCGCGTCGGCGCCCTACATTGATCCTTGCAACGAAATGCAGACCAAGCTTGCCAATAGACTGCAGCTATTCCTTCTGTTGCCGCAGGCCTGGGCGACGGAAGCGGGAAAGCGCGAGCTTCTGGTGAAGCTCGGGTGGACAGGCCAGGGGCAGGAGCAGCTTCGGGTCAGGTCTTTGTGTATTTTGCACAAGCTACCAAACCCAGAAGAAGGAGGACCAGCCATGGGTAGTGTGGTGGTACCTCAGCGACACCATCTGGGCCTGGGAGAGCGATCTCTTCGGAGCTGAGGAGGCAAATAGGCGAGAGAGAGTGGCCAGTGGAGTCAGATCGCGTGCGCGCAGCGACGGGCATAGAACCCTGTAGTGGATCCCTTGAAAGGAACCGTACTCTAGTCATTGTATAATATACCCCTATTCAAATCGTTAAGGAGCCTATATATTGGGGTTTCAGGTCTAGGGTTCCTTTTTTGAGGTGCAGGTTTCAGGGCTCCTTAGGGTTTAGGGTTTAGGAGCTAGAGTTTACTGGGAGTGTTTAGGGTTTAGTGTTTGGGGTTTAAGTGTTTAGGGTTTGGGGCTTACGGTTTAGGGTTGAGGCCTGTGGGGTGTGCGGTTTTGGGTTTCGGGCTTTCGCATTGCACGTCTTTTTTGTTTTTTTGCTTGAAGTGCCGCGAGAGCCGATGCACCCCAAAGCCCTGAATCCCTATGATACATTCCTACAACCCTAGAGGGAATTGTTATGGGGTTGCTTAAGCCCTAATGTAAGCTCCACTTCATATGCAAGCCGTATAGAGCTGTTATACATACTTTAAGTTGAGTCCTCAAGGAGTTACTTGAGCACTATACCTGTGAAAAGCCTTCTAGAATCCTATAACCTTGGGCAGGTTAAGGAGTAGTCTTTGATTTAGGGGTAGGCCCATCTCTGCGGGCTTGTTTGGGTCGATCTAAAAAATAGATCGCGTAAAGGATTTCCTATAAAGTACCCTTTAGTAGTAAGGGTCCCTAATTAGGGGATGTATTTTTTAGATCCTTTTGGGGGTCTGGGAATCGCACCCTAATTCACAGAGCGACTTTGCAGCAACGGCAAAACAAGGATTTCAGTTGGTAACCCTGATGCAAAGAGCTATCCATCTAAACTCAATTGCGACAAAAGTTCGTGTCTTCACCTATAGTCTCCGTTGTCGTCCTTTTTCTGGTTGAGCAAACTTTATATATTGAGCCAAACGGTAACCCAAGAAACGGAACTACAATGGAGACTACAAGCAGCCGGAAGAATATCCCTTGCGTAGAGATGACGGTTTCTTGGTGCTGAAGAGCCAGTCAGGCTCATCATTCTGTCATTCTATCAACAATCCAGCGAATCGAGGGCTCAATATAGGTGCCTTCATAGGTCGAATGGGGTTTAACGTGCCCAAGACACACCCTCATGATCAAACCCTAAACCCCCAATCCTAAACCCCAACCCCTAAACCCCTGAACCCTATACCCTAAGCCCCAAAACCCTGAACCCTAAACCCCAGACCCCATCACACCTGCATCAAAGGACGGTCTCGTCATCCGCCGGCCTCCTACGCGCCGCCTGCACGAGAAGCACGTGGCTCTGCCGCCTCGTAAAGTTTCGTTTCGGGTTCAGGGTTGAGGGTTTAGGGGTTGGGGTTTAGGGTTTAGGGCAAGTTTAGGGTTTACCGGCAACTCTCTTTACCTGCAGTTCAGCAGCCATTACCCTTTAACCAGTAGGTAGAGCCCATAAAACTGTAGGTGATTAGAGTCCCAGGTAGGGTTTAAATTGAACTTATCAGGATTGTTGTTATGAATGTTGGTTTTGCAGGTTGTGGTTTTGGAGGTTCAGGGTTTTGTGTTTGGTCTTTTCGGTTTGAAAAGGTCTTGTTGGATAACGGTTGTATTGGGCTTATGTAGGTGTCCTAAGCCCTAAACCCTAAAGTGTTCTTATGCGAGCGCCGAAACAAACAGCCAACAAGTGACCTTTGTGCTTACAGACTTGTGCCACAAGATTTGAGGGTTCAGGGTTCAGGGTTTAGGCCATATCCCGATGCCAGGAACGTAGCTTCTGGGGTCGGGTTTAGGTTCCATAGGGTTTCGAGTTTTGGGTTTCGGGTTCAGGGGGTAGGTTCCAGAAACCCACAAGAAGCGCGAAGGTGAAGAAGCTGGACAAAGCCTCCGCCTCAGCTTCTCCTGTCTTGGAATGGGACGTGAACGCCTCGACAGCATCATTGTGTGCTGGTAGTTCTTATCAGATCAGGTGTCCCTGAACCCTAAACCCTAATCCCTGAACCCTAAACCCCTAAACCCTGAACCCTAAACCCTAAACCCTGAACCCCTAAACCCTGAACCCTAAGCAACAATCGGAGCTGCTAAGTCCCCTGATAGCTTGAACTTGAAGATTCTTCCAGCTAAGGCCGGAGAAGCCTTGACATTATCGGCTCAGGGTTCAGGCTTTAGGGTTCAGAGTTCAGGGTTTAGGGTTCAGGGTTCAGGGTTCAGGGTTTAGGGTTTAGGGTTTAGGGTTTAGGGTTCAGGGTTTAGGGTTTAGGGTTTAGGGCCCATTACTTTTCGCATTTGTTCGAGGTTTTCATGTCAGCGCTTGTTAAAAGCTCCTAAACCGTTTGGACGCCTTTCTTATAGGAACCCCTTGCGGGACCCTCGCAGGAAGCCATGAAGCCCTGCAAGAGCCTTAAACGCGTCAAGCCCCAGCTTACAAACAACCTACATCCGAAGCCCAAGCCCCAAGCCACTAACCCTAAACCCTAAATACCCAAAACCCTAAAACCCTAAATACCCTAAACCCTAAAACCCTAAATACCTTAAATCCTAAAACCCTAAAACCCTAAATACCCTAAACCCTACCCTAAACCCTAAAACCCTAAAGCCCTAAAACCCTAAAACCCTAAATACCCTAAACCCTAAACCCTAAATACCCTAAACCCTAAACTCTAAATACCCTAAACCCTAAACCCTAAACCCTAAACCCCCTAAACCCGAAAGCCCTCCGAATCCGGGCTCCCCAGTTCCTGTCTGACGTGGAGCGTCAGCCGCAAGTCCTGGACGAGATCGTCGGCAAGAGGCTGGGGCCTTCTCTTGGGCTTAGGTTTTAGGGTTTAGGG